CAAGCAAATTATACAAGCACTCGGTTCGAAAATGTGAACGAAACAGGAAAACGAAAAAGCTGAGATGCTAAAAATCACCAAAAAACAGAACGATCTAGTACAGGAAAAAAAAATGAAAAGCCAAGAAGTGAGTTTGCTGGACTTTTCAAAGGTGAAAATTCTCTTCCCCCCTCCCAACCCCCACATTCCCCGGGAATAACTTTTACAACAATTCAATGGTGAATCAGTAGAAGTTCCAAATATCAAAAATAAATAAATATCAAGAGTAAATAAGACCTAATATCTTTGCAAAAAAAAACCCGCAAAACCCAGGTCACCGTCCAGAAACTAAGGGAACTCCCGTTGCAGTTTTGTCCAGAACAAAAAAGAAAAATTGAGTGAATTAAGAAAATGATACTGATCAAAAAAGTTATTGATAAACTGGCAGAGAAGCTAAAGTATAAGGAACTGAAATGTGTGCAACGCACAGTGATCCCAAACCTCCCAGAAACACAGAACTTGTACAGATGCAAAACAGTGACAGCTATACATGTAAATGATGACCGTGTTCGAAGACGGGGGGAGGGGGGAGGGGATGGTGAGGAAGGGGGAAAGTGGCCCAACCAAAAATAAGCACCATAATTCCCTCCGAGGAAGCAAAATAAGTAACTACCGCAATTTAAAAATCAACTCTTCGCTTCCCTCCTTCCTTCCCCCAAGCGTATTCATCCTCCCACCAGAAACGCAGACATTCAGCAGTACGTGTGAAAAATACTGGTAGCAAACCCACGCTGGTAAAGCACTCAACGGATTCCTCTTTCGAGGGTTGCTTAGAAGCAAGTTGATGGCGAGTTTGATTCCCTGGCATATGCCAGTACCAGTTTACCATTGAAACGAATGAACGAATCGTAGAAGGGGCCGACCGCCCCAATGGCAGAGGAAAATGAATTTTCGACCTTTTTGCATTACAGTAGCAAATAAAAGCATACCAGTGCGAAAATCATAAAAAAACACACACTACAATACACTCAATGTTTAAAAATAACAGCTACTCAAAGGTAAAAACGCTTTTTGTCCGTAGTACAGCGATATTTGTTGGAAGACATAATCGACTACTGGACGACACATGCGGGCGTATGTCTTGTCACAGTTTAAATGAATAGCCACAATGGAGATGAGAGGAAAGAGAAGAACGACGGCGAAGCACATGCATTCAAAAAAAAAAAAACGATCAGAGTTCCATCATACAAAATTTAAGTAAAATTTCACAAAAAAAAGCAGCGAAA